AGGTCGTGCGGGATCCTGCAAGATCTTGCAGGATTCTGCAAGGCCTGACTGACCCGGGTCTGGATTGACCCGGGTCAATAGATCCCCGAAGACAGGTATGGAGGGTTGGGCGAGGAGAGGCAGGAGAAGAGGCTGATAGGCTAACGGTACAAGGATCCCCCTTCAACCCGACGCCAGGGCACCACACCTGACGCCACCTGACGCTACCCCGCCAGCACCCTCCCAGCCCGCGCACCCGCAGCGGGCCCGTCGTCAGGTCACGCAGGTGGCCGGCGTCAGGTTGGGGGGGGGGCCTTGCAAGGAGAGGGAGGACTGGGGGGGACTCGCGCATCCCCACCAGCACAGCTCCTCGGCCCGCCACGTGCACCTGTGGGGTTTTCTGGGGCATCGGCGGCCTCGGGATGGCCTCCAGACGCCCCAGCATGGCCTCCAGACGGCCCAAGGATGGACTCAGTGCGGCCCAGCATGACTTCCAGACGGTGCAGGGCGGCTCCAAATGGTTCCAAGAGCTCCGGGATGGCCTCAAGGCGACCAAGAGGCAACCGATACGGCCCAAGAGGCTCTAAGAGGCCTTCCCGGAGGCCCCATCACGAAGCAACAGTCACTGACTGTTCCAATGTTTTTCAAAGATTTGGGCGCCCTCGCCTTTCGGAACGTCTGACAGCACCAGACGGCCCGAAAGGCCTACCCCTCAGGGCTCCGAAAGCGTCAAACAGATCAAGAGCACCCTAAGACGGCTCGAAAAGGCCCGAAGAGGCCCCCGAAGAAGCCCCCACGAGGCCCCCAAGAAGCCTTGAAGAGGCCCTCAAGAGCCCCAAAGAGGCCTACACCTCAGAGCTCCGAAAGCGTCAAACGGGCCAAGAGCGCCCTAAGACGGCTCAAAGAGACCAGGAGGGTTGTGTTGTTCCCATCGTACTTAAGGACCACATCCCAGGAATAATTTCGATCACCCAGCAAAATATCAAAACAATGTCAAACGAGTATCGCCTCTCAGGGCCCAAGACGTGAAAGCCCTCCAGTTTCGGTACTTTCTTTGTGCTCGAAATTCTTCCTGGCGGTCAATGCTAAAGTCGGCTAGACCATCATAACCGAAGGGGCCCCCTGAGAGGCCCCTGAAGAGCCTCCCCCAAGAGGCCCCCCGAGAGGCACCAAAAAAGAGGCCCCCAGGAGGGGCCTCCGTGCGCAAGAGGGCCTCGAGAGACCAGCGAGAGCCATCCTTCTCTTCCTCCTCGCCATCCTTAACAATTTCTGTTTCGCAGTCATGTTTATACCAGATTTAAAAATATGAATATGCGTATTCGTATTCGTATAAGTATTACTATGGTCACTAATGGTAGTATTCGTATTCGTCGTTGTATGTATATGAATAGTACTAGTTATATTATTCATACTAGTTAGAGCATTGTTAGTAGTTTCTATTTTTGGTATGAGTATGAGTATACTTCGCATGTTTATGTCTACAACTACTACTACTACTACTACTACTACTACTACTACTACTACTACTACTACTACTACTACTACTACTACTACTACTACTACTACTACTACTACTACTACTACTACTACTACTACTACTACTACTACTACTACTACTACTACTACTACTACTACTACTACTACTGCTACTACTAATACTACTAATACTACTACGACTACTAATAATAATATTGATAATAAACGTAATAATAATAATACTAATAATAATAATAGCACTACTACTACCACTACTACTACTACTACTACTACTACTACTACGACTACTACGACTACTACTACTACGACTACTACTACTACTACTACTACTACTACTACTACTACTACTACTACTACTACTACTACTACTACGACTACTACTACTACCATTACTACTAGTGTGTGTGCGTTGTTAGCATGGATAGTAGCATTACACATATCATTATCACAAGCAGTATTCAGAGCATTGTGCTTCCATATGTTATGGTTCCTCCTCCAACTCCTCCTCCTCCTCCTCCTCCTCCGCCTCGTCCGCCTCGTCCGCCTCTTCCTCCTCCTCCTCCTCCTCTTCCTCCTCGTCCTCCTCCTCCTCCTCCTCCTCCTCCTCCCCCTCCTCCTCCTCCCAACAGCTCGGGACGCGCCCTGCACTCTGAACACGCACCTGCAGCACAACTCCCCGAGAGGGGGCCCGCGCCTCGGCTCCCGCTCCGAGGCACACCGGACTGCCTGGCTGTGAGCTCGGATCCCAAACCACACCAGTCACTGCACCGACCTTGCAGACGTGCTGCAGCGGATTTTTGCGTGGATTCCTGTCAATGCAGAGCCCCGAGACGGCGAGGGGTAAACGAAGCGAATTTCGCGTGGATGTTGTATAGTCTTCATTCCTGGCCCCCAGGAATCCGCACGAAAATCACCTCGAAATCAGGAACGAAATTCTCGAGGACACTCTGGGCCCATCCTATCGGGTTCCCAACGAAATCCGCTCTGCGATGTTGGCGCCGGCGGCGAGCGAGCGTGCCAGAAGGCTGGTTACTCCTCGCGTTGTGAAGAAATCGCGACCGGAGGTTTTTCGCTGTTTTCGGCCTCCGGGGGCCCGCGCCAAGCCCCAGGACTGTCAAAAAACGACTCAGGACGAAAAACTGGCACTAGGGAAATGGTCCAGACCTCCGGGGCCTACGCATCAAGAAAAATCGGAGCAGCTGGATATCTGGGAAGTGAGAAGGACAAGGCCTTCTCAAAAGGCGGCGCGACTTCTCAGATGCTCTCGCGCCTTCCGAGAGGTTTTAGCTCGTGCCTTCAGGGAAGGCTCAAATAACTTCTTAGCAGGCCGAAGGACTTCCGAGACTTCTGAGAAGGCCCGTCACTCCGCACTTCCCCCCGGTCTCGCCGCCGAATCAAAACCACCGCTGCTGCGAAAACGAGGCTGGACTCGGATCGCGATGGAGCCATGAATTGCTCATGCCCGATGCCCAGAAGCACAGCAGAGCCTGCACCGTCTCGCGGGGCGAGCTGGAACGCCGAGCGCTTCTTCGAAGACCAAAGCGCCACACTGCGAACCGACTCTCCTCGCCCATGTCAGGAGGCGGCACAAGCACAAACAGTCGGGGGCGGCGAAAGGGCGGCGAAAGGGGCGGTCCAGCGCCGGTGCAAGGAACTCCGCGCGGCGCTCCGAACATGCTGGCGCATGCCGCTTCTTCCTTCGATTGCGAGGGACAGACCACGGCAGGGCCGGGGAAGTTCAAAGAGCAGACGAAGGCATGACGAGGACGAAGCCTTTCACCAGCTTGGGGCCCCAGGGGCCCTTACGCCCGGCCTCTGGGGATCTTTCGGGGGCCCCTCGGGGGTTTGCTGGCGGTCTCGGGAGCCATGTCCGGCCTCCTGCGGCCCGTCCCGCCACCACGCCAGCCCAGCATTCTGCTTCGTTTGCGAGATGCAGACCGCCATAGGGCGCCGGAGGTCCACAGATGAGACGAAGCCAGGACGAGGACAAATTCGGGTGAGGATAGATCTGAGATCTGGCGGCTCTGGAGATCGAGATCTGAGGAGGAGGAGGAGGAGGAGGAGGAGGTTGAGGGATCCTCCTCCTCCTCCGATCCTCCTCCTCATCCTCCTCCTCCTCCTTCTCCTCCTCCTCCTCTGGTCAGGATAGATCGAGAATCTCTGAGATCTGGCGGCTCTGGAGGCGCCGCGGCCTTCTCAGAGCGTTCTGGAACGCCCTGAGAGCGTTCTGGAACGCTCTGGAGCGGATTGATCCTCGTCCTGGCCCCGTCCGACACAGGGCCGCGGAGGTCCAGAGAGGCTCAAATGAAGGCTCACCCAGAAGCTGACATGCTGGCTGTTTCTTCCTCGTCCTCCTCTCTGCCTCGCTGCCCTTGTGGAGGGGGCTTCCACCCTGACTTTCCCGAGCGCTAAGAACTTGCACTCCAGACCTGTTGAGCTTTCGGACCACCTAAACCCCCGACCATAATTTCTTCGGCATCAGGGCACTGGTACCACTTTCTGGCCCTCCTGGAAGGTCAGGGGACATGACATCACATCGCGCCTCGTTCTCGCGACCCCCCCCCGGGCTCCTCCACCACCTGACCCTCCGCCTTGAGACGAAGGCAGAATCAAATCAAAATCGGACCGAATAGATCAGAAATCCCCCGGCCCCCTGGCGGGCCATCAGGCTCCGCAGATTAGGCGTGCTGCTCCCTGCTCCAGTTCCAGTTTCCAGTCTCCGATGTCATGATTCTGTGTTCTGCTTCCTACTGTAAATTGTTGAAGTCCGCGCGAGGGCCGGAGCCGACAAGGGCCCTTATTACCTTCACCTGGGGGGGCATCAGAATGTCTGGGGGGTCCTGGGACACGTGAAAATACGCGAGATTCGCGCCATAACCTCTTGCAATATTATACCACATTCGCGTCTCCGAGGCCTTAAACCCTCGCAACTTACGCTGTGTTCGCGCTTCCGAGGCCACACTTCCCCGCGGGTTCGGAAGATGTATCGGGCGCCGCGGCCATTTCAGAGCGTTCAAAAAGGCTCTCAGAACGTTCCGGAACGCTCTGGAACGAAGCTCTCGATCCTAGGCCCGTCCGTGGGCAAGCCAAAAGCTATCGATATCGCTACTCCCCGGACCTCTCCTGGGGTGCGCTCTGACTAGGACTTCGAGGCGAATGCAGCGTTGGCGACCAGGGCCTCCCAGGAGACCTCAAAACGAGGAAAACGAGGGAAGGGTACAGGTGTGGATACCTTTTCATCCTCTGAGTCCGACGCCTCCCGCGGCCAGGGGCCGCGGGGGGCCGAAGTTGAGCAGGGACCGACAGTCCTAGCATTCCTAAAGGACTACCACGACGTTCTCGTAGAACAAGAGAATGTTCTAAGAACAGAAACAGCGTTCCAAGAATATGAAGCCGATGCATTGACACAAGACAGTCCCAGCCAGCAATCTTCTAGAGCATTTCGCGCAAACCACATAAGGTTCTTCGCACATCCTAAGGTGAGCCTGTGAGCAAGCTTCGCCACTGCTCGACGAAGGGCGGGCCTCGTCCTTCGTCAGCGACCGGAAGACGATGACCTCGCGGCGCACGGGGGCCCCCGGCCGCCCCGGCCGCCGTCCGGGCCTCGGGAGAGACTGGCCAGCACTCGCTGCGGGGACAGCAAGCGACCACAGCCACATCGAGGACACACCCCATGGGATGTCTTGCGCATGCCAAACCCAGCGGCGAGCCCCGGGGGGGGGTGCACGGGAGGGGGCGGGCCTTCTCAGAAGGCTCGGAAGTCCCCCGGCCTTCCGAGACGCAGACATCTTTTTAATAAGGCCAGAGGGCCCCGTCGCCTTCTGAGAGGGCCTTCTCCTTCTCACTCCCCCCCCCTCGCTCGCCGCCGCCTTGCGCAAACCGAACACTGTCGGAACACCCGCTTCGTACTGGCTGTGGTCGACGTGGCGTCCCAGGACGGCAACATCGACCACAGCCACAACCAGAGTGCTCGTGTCGAAACCGGGGGATTCTCCCCCGAGGGGCCCTCCCGAAAAGTCCACTCAATTGTGGCTGTGGTTCTTTGTCGTGCCTGGCCTCACTGCCGCACTCCTCCGGGCGACTGCAGGGCCTTACGCGCGACGGCACAGCGACCTTGCCCCGCGGCCTCCGCGGGCCGCCGGCGCGGCACACTGCGTCGGAGACGAGGGCGCTCACGCGGTACCTTACGCGGGAAGCTTACGCCCCAATGTCGGCGCAGACGACCCTGTCGTCTTCCGTCGCACATCTGTCCATGCCCCCGCCTTCTCCAATGATCATAAGTGGCGGTGGGGTTTAATATGAGTTGCACTGCGGCCGCAGTCTTCCGCGCGCGTGCCAGTTTTCAATTTGTGGGAGAGGGGGAGCGTCAACGAATTGTTTCCCTCTACCGTCCTGCGGGTGCACGGCAAAATGGCCAATAAGATACCCCCAAAATCGTCCCCATACGATTTTTTACCATTTTGGAATATTCCTCCTGTAGAGGGACGTACCCGACTTAAGGGTAGCAGCATGGGTACCTTTAACACCTCTGACGGAGCTCCACGCGCTCAGGCCGAGCACCGCCAGCGCAAGCGCAAGGCTGCTAGAAACTGCCCCAAACCGGTCCACGGGCGAGGTTCGTTCGCCCGTCGTCTGGCTACCGCTCCTGCACCTTGTCCTGATGTCTGCTCTCGTCTGCTGTCCTCGTCCCCATTCGCTGTTCGTATCCTGGCTCGTCTGCTTGCCTCCACCTCCATCTCCCGCTCCTCCTCCTCCTCCTCCTTCTCATCCTCCTCATCCTGTTCCTCCTCCTCCTCCTCATGTTCGTCCTCTCCCATTCATCTTCCTTCCACCATTTTTCTCACTCCTCCTCCCCTGATCGTTTTTGACCCCGCCCTCTTCATCCCGCTCCTACTCCTCCTGCTCATCCGCCCCATGCTCCCCCTGGGCCTCCTCCTCCGCCTCCTCCTGCTCCACGTGCGAGGCGGACCCGCCTCGTCCAGACGATTCAGGAACTCGGGCCTGAAGAAATTCTTGAGTTCCTCAGTAACGTTCTGCTTCATCCTGCGACAGAGGGCGAGAGAGAGAGAGACAATTCACCCCCCCCCCGTCCAGCTGTCACCTGTACCCGCGCTGGCTTCTGAATCAGTTCGCCATTCATCCACATTGCCCTCGCCCAGTCCCTCACTAGCCTTCTTGGTTCGTGTACAGTGGATACCCATGCCAAGAAACATCCTCCAGGGTGCCCTGGGTTTCTTGGGCTTCGATGGTTTTGCGATGGAGAGCGCGACAATCCCACGCCAAGAATCAACGGACGTCCTGGGGTCTCAGGGTTGGGTTTCTTGTGGACGGTTTCTTATGGTCGGGCCTCCACTGTGCACACCTACTTTGCCACCTCGCTGGCCGATGCCAGCTGAATCTGGCACGCTCCATCCCACATGTCATGGATCCATCGTCGACGCCTACCCTCTCAACATGGACATTTCGGCGTCGACATTGTCAAATGCGGGGCAGCCAGGCCGAGATGTCGTTGTCGCCTCGGCGCTGCGCCCATCTTCCCGAAGAAACGAACTCCTGCCTGGGCGCAGCGCACACTTCTCGCTCGTCACCGTGTGCCGACGCGCGCGGGTCCGCGCGCGAGCGGGCGTCTCGTCGTCCTCGCCCAAACTCCGTGCATGTGCGTTGCGCCTGGTAGTGGCGACCCCGCGCAGGCGCGGCGTCTGCTCGCACCGAAGGCGGCAGCGCCAGCAGCGGCCGCGCGAGGAGGCGGAAAAGTGCGTTCTTCGCCCAGCGGCTCGTGCGCGTGAGTCGCCGCGCTGGGTTCGACACGGCGCACGCTGCGTCCACGCCGCGCTCGTCGAAAATCGGTTCCGTACATGTTCAGCGCAACTTCGACCAGGGTTATGAGCTTGTGCAACATTTACACAAATGGAAGGCGGTAAATGTTCGAAGCGGGGGCGTCGCTGGGCAGCGCCTTGAATTTTCTGGCCCCGCCTTGTCGCCGCCTTATCGCTCGAAGGCTGGACGGCAATTGCCATCAAAACCGAACTCCCGTCTGAATCCCACCAGCCCTTTGGGCGCAGGTGGTCTAACGATATATTTCGTCCCTCTTCCAAAACCCCCTCCTTCCCTTCGGGGGAGGGCTTATCACTGTTCCATATTAATAAACACCTCCTCCCCCAGGCGACTTGTAGCCAACCAGGAACCATGAGGGCCCCCCCACACCATCTTTGGTAAAACCAATGCAAACACACTCTGCCTCCAAAGACGGAACATGCGCAGCCAACCCGATGCGGCCTCCCCCCACCATCCCGGTCAAAAGCAATACAAAATACAGTTGGCGGCGGCGGCGGCTGCGGCGGCGGCGGCGGCTGCGGCGGCTGCGGCGGCGGCGGCGGCGGCGGCGGTGGCGGCGGCGCGGCGGCGGCGGCGGCGGTGGCGGCGGCGGCGGCGGTGGCGGTGGCGGCAGCGGCTGCGATTTCGCAGCAGGGTCGTCGGCGGCGGCGGCGGTGGCGGGCGGCGCGGCGGCGGCGGCGGCGGATTGGCCCCCAGTAGCTGCCCATCGAAAGACGACCAGGCTCGGGTGCTATGTATGTGTTGGGAAGGCGGGTGGGAGTGAGCGATTCGGGCCTTGATTAATATACACCCCCTCCCCCAGGCGACTGGGAGCCAACCAGGACAATGGGCCCCCACCACCACCACCCCTTGCAAAAAAACAATGCGAAACACACTCTGCCTCCAAATTCGGAGCATGCGCAGCCAACCCGATGCGGCCTCCCCCACCACCCTGTCAAATCAAAATACAAAATACACTTGGCGGCGGCGGCGGCTGCGGCGGCTGCGGCGGGGGCAGCGGCTGCGGCGGCTGCGGCGGCGGGGCGGCGGTGGCGGCGGCGGCGGCGGCGGGGGGCGGCGGCGGCGGCGGCGGCGGGCAGCGGCGGCGGCGGCGGCAGCTGTGGCGGCAGCGGCTGCGGCGGCAGCGGCTGCGGCGGCGGGCGGCGCGGCGGCGGCGGCGGCGGGGCGGCGGACGCGGCGGCGGCGCTTGCGGCGGATTTGCCCCCAATAGCTGCCCATCGAAAGACGACTGCTGAATATGCTGCGGCTCGGGCCAGGCTCGGGTGTTACGTATGTGTGTTGGGAGGGCGGGTGGGAGTGAGCGAGACGGCTTGCGGGCGGGAAGGGAGTTTTGACACCTCCCCCCACCCCCTCCCCTGGACCTGAAAGGGGGCGGGCCGCGAGGTGGCAGAGGGTCCCTTTCTTGTCAAGATGGCTCCAAGATGGCCTCAGAGAGCCCAAGATAGCCTACAAGATCACTCAAGATAGCTGAACATGGCTCAAGAGAACAAGAAAACTAACAACATGCTTCAAAGAGGCCCCGAGAGGGCCACAAGACGGTTCCAGGTGCTCTCAGAGCTCCCTCGGCCTCCCCCGAGAAGCCAAAGTCCTTCAAACACCTCAGGGAAATCAATGATTGTTGCCTTCTCGCCGTTTCGCTCCCGATGCGCTGTTGATGCCTCAACATGGCCCCAAGATGGTCCAGGAAAGCTCCAAGAGGGGTCCAAGAGGCCCCCAAGACGGCCCCAAGAGCGCCCAAAATCGCCCCAAGAGCGCCCCAAAAGGGCCCCCAAGAGGCGATGTTGATGGCCCCGGAAGGGGGGGCACATCGAGGACCCCCCCTCCTTTGATCAATGGTCTCCAAGACGGCCCCAAGAGGCGCCCCATAGCTCCCAGGAGGGCCCCAAGAGAACGCCAAGAGAGCCCCAAAAGAGCCCCACCAGGGCCCTATGAGGGCCCTAAGACGCCCCCAAAGAGCCCCAAGAGGACCCCCAAAGAGCCCTAAGAGGGCTCCAAAATGCCCCAAAAGAGTTTCAAGAGGACTCCAGTATCCCCCCAAGCAGCCCCGTAGCTTCAAGAAGGCCTTCGATGCTCCAAGACAACCTCCAAGATGGCTCAACGCTCTCCTCCTGCTCCCCTCCTTGCACGCTCTGTTTCACTACATGTGTCTCTTCCCTCAATGTTCCGGCAGCTCTCATGGGCGGGGCTTCTGAAAGGGCTTTGGGTGTCTCCTCGTCCTCCGCCTCATCCTCCTCCCCTCCTTCCTACAACTCACTCTCCCTCGTCATATGTCCTCTGATAGTCCTCCTCACGTTCTGCCCTCGCCGATTCCCCCCTTACCCCACTCTGATCCTCGTCCTCGTCTTGGCCTCCGCCCTCATCGTCTTCATCCTCCTCTTCCTCGCTCTCCCCTCGTCCTCGCTATCCTCGTCCTTCTGGCCTTCGTCCTACTTGTTCTGCTCCTTGTCTTTTCTTTCCTCGTCCTCGTCGTACTCTTCTTCCGCCCCCCTCGTCCACGTCGTTCCTCTCCTCTCCTTGCACGCTCTGTTTCACTATATGTGTCTCTTCGTCTTTTTTGTCCGTCCGCTCTCATGGGCAGGGATCCTGAATGGGCTGGTGGGGATTCGCGAAGCGTAAACAGCTGCTGGCCCGTGGGGCACTTTTGAAGGGGGATCGCTTCGCGTGGCGAACAAGAACGCATGTAGGGACTCATGATCAGGGGACTTGGCAAGGAAGGGTGTATTGCAGCATCGTTAGTGCACCTTGGGGTCACTGTGGCCCTGGCAATCCTCATCCCCCTTCCCTTCCCCCACCTCGGCCTCCTCCTCCTCCTCGGCCTTCGTCTCCTCTCCACATCCTCCGACCCTCCCCTCCCCCCCTCCTGCTCTTCCTGCCCCTCGTCCTCCCTCTACTACTCTTCTTCCTCCCCGTCCGGCTCAGGCCCCTCTTCCACGCGGAACGACGGGCAGGTGGCACTCGGCACTGCCCCCAAACAAAGACAAAGAGGAAAGGGAAGGAGAGGGGAGGGGGATGAGGGCGCGAACGATGCAGACGAAACTGGAAGGTGCACTCCGCCAACGATGTGCGCATCAATATGTGCCCCGGCCCCCCCCGCTCCTCTTGTAGCTGCTCGTGTCCTCGTCCTCGTCATCCATGCCGGAAAACCTGGGCAGCCGAGCTTGGGTGTGGGAGCTCACCTGACGAGGTGAGGGTGGAAGAACTAAAAACGGCATTAGCAACCTTCGGAACTCCGCGCAAACTTATCGGATCCGGTCTGGGCCCCCCTCCCCGGGGCGCGGAGCGCGCCAGGGGGGGCCCAGCGCAGATCCAAGGAATCCGCGCGAAGCTCCAGAAGTTTCTGTTTATGCCGTTGTTTTCTCCTCCGAGAGTCGGGGGCGCGCAAACTTGGATTAGCGATCCATGGATTTGGCGCGCGGTCGCCAAATCCATGGTTCGGGGGGGGGGCCCTCCCCAGTGCCGCCTCGCTCGGCGGCGGAAATCCGCGATTTCCCGTGGAAACAGGACCCGTCGCTGATCCACGCCCCCTTGATCCATGTTTGCGATTGCCTGAGAGAGGGGGGGAGACGAGGAGGGAGCGGAGGGAGCGTGCTCAGCGCTGTGGCCCGCCGAGACCTCTGAGCTTTCCGCCTCGGGCTGGACGGCTTCCCCCGGAGCCGTAGGCGACCCGAGGAGGGGAGGTCGAGGAGGTGGAGGAGGAAGAGGAGGAGGTGGAGCAGGAGGAGAAGGAGGAGGAGGATGAGGAGGAGGAAGGGGGGGAGGACGGGTCGCCTAAGCCCTTCGGAGAAACCCTCCACCTCGGGTGCCCCGGGAGGCACAGCAGGACCAGAGCTCGGAGAACCGCGCGGCGCGGGCCGGTCGTTCGCCCGCTCCGCCGGCCCTGCACGCCAGGGTCGCACATGAGCGCGAGTCTTCCCATCCCGTCCCGTCGCGTCTGCCAAGCTCCTTCTCCTCCCATCCCTCACTCTGCCACTTTGGGCGTTTTTTTATTCAGCGTTTCGACATTGGGCGGAAAGGGGGGAGGCGAGGGGGAGGGTCTGGCTCCGGACCTCTGCTTAATGGCGTCTGTTTGCGATAAGCTGCCTCTGGGGGGGACTCCATCCGCTCGAAACAGGCGCAAAAAAACAGCCAAGACCTACTCCATGGGGGGGTAGGGGGGGTTTGGGGCCCGCGCCGATCGGCAAAACAGTGAATCAAAACGATCACATGCTCCCTTCTCCTCCCATCCCTCACTCTTCCACTTGCCATGCGCCTCCCCGTTCCATCTCCGTTCATCTACCATTGTCTGCCCCGCTCCCCCGTTCCCTGCCATCTCCTCCCTCCGCACACCCCCATCCACCCATTCGCCGTGTCTCGTTTTTATGTTTGAGACAGAGTAGAAATCGAAGTGTGCACGTCTCGTGGTATCTGTTGGGCAACATGGTATTGTCGTGCAAAGTGTATCGGTCCCCACATGTTCAGTGTGGTTATTGCTTTCTATGCGCACACCCCTCGCGGGAATCCAACCATCCACATCATCATCACCATCACCATCACCATCACCATCACCATCACCATCACCATCACCATCACCATCACCATCACCATCACCATCACCATCATCATCATCATCATCATCATCATCATCATCATCATCATCATCATCATCATCATCATCATCATCATGATCATCATGATCATCATGATCATCATCCGTATCATCATCAGCATCATCGCCGCAAGCATCATCCCCAGCATCATCAGCAGCATCGTCAGCATCAGCATCAGCATAAGCATCAGCAGCATCAGCATCACCATCGTCAGCATCGTCATCATCATCATCATCATCAGCATCATCGTCAGCATCGTCCCCAAGATCATCAGCATCGGCAGCAGCATCATCAGCATCAGCATCAGCATCAGCATCACCATCCCCTATCATCACCGTCGATCAGCATCATTGTCGTCGTCATCGCCATCGTCGTCGTCATCGTCATCATGGTCGTCACCGACCTCATCACACTAATACATGATAATAAGCATCATCATCAGCATCATCTTCATCATCATCATGATGATGATAATCATCATCATATGAATACTCATTCATCCTCAGCGGCATCATCATGATCTCCATTACCATCGTCAGCATCAACATCATCACTGCCACCATGATCACTAGCACCATCGGCATCGTCATCAGCATCAGCATCGTCTAGGTCCAGACACTCTTGCACGAACACATCGGTGCTCATACACTCGCGCTCAATCATGCACTCATGATTCATACACTCGTGATTCATTGACCCGCGCTCGATCATGCAGTCAACCATTCATCATGGCACACGCAGATTGAGGTGGTCTCGAGCGGGAACATCACCTGCGAATGAATTACATTTGTCTCAAATGCAAAGCTTGGGCCAAGTCGCTCCCCCCCGCCAGCCCGAGCGCGGTGGCGGATTCGCGCGGCAACGCAACTGGATACATACACACATGCTACCTAGAGGAAAAACGTAAACGTGCCGTCCCCACTCTCCATAAACTATTGAGCCACTTCCAGTGACTTGGATCTGGTAACGCTGGTCGCATTGCACAGCGCAAGCAACAACAACGAAAGGCAACAATGCAAGTGTAAGCGTTACGAAATCGAAAACAGAAAGCAAGATTGACGTGACACGAAATCCCCCAATCAGAACATCGGTTTGGATTTCGGTGCGAAGGCCGTGCGTGACGAAGCTGTGCGAGGCTGAAACAACTCCTAGCCTTCATACGGCGAATTCGCATCAACTTGTTCCTCCCGCCTGCAGCCGGGCGGAATAATCCGGGTTGCCCCGCGGCTGTCCCGCACTGGTCCTGTGGCTCGCGGCTGTCCCGTGGCTGTCCTGTGGCTCAAGTGGTCGCCCCGCGGATGTCCAACCACTGTCCGTGGCTGTCCCGTGTGTGTGTGTGTGCCGTCCGTAGCCATTTTGACTCAAGCCATTTTGGCTCAGGCCGTGGGCTCGAGGGCTGGCCGGGCGGCCGGCCCCAGCGGCCCGGGCCGTGGCCGGCGCATGGATGGCGGCGCACAGCTGCTGCCCGGGTGCGTCTGGGCCTGGTGCGCCGCCGTCCCGCTACACGACGGCGCGGCCTTGGCCAGCTGGTCCGCCCCGGGCGGCTGGCACGCCCCAGGCGGAGGGGCAGGGGCTGGCGGGGTGCCCCTGGCGCCACCCGGGCCCGCCGCGGCCGACGGAGGCTCCGCGGCCTCAAGGCCGCGGCGCCTCCTTAAGGCCGCGGCGCCTTAAGGCGCCAACCGGACCCGGGCGGGTCGACGGAGGCGGGGCCGCAGCCGCGGCGGCGCCCGCCGCCAGCGAAGCGCCGCCGCGCCCAACCACAGGGGCACTCCTCCTGGCCAGGGCCTGGGGCGCAGGGGGGCTGTCGGCGCAGCTCCTCGCCGGGGACGCGGGCACGCGGGCACCCCGCGACCGGTTGTTAACTGTGGCCCGTTGGGTGTTAGTGTGGCCCGTTGGGTGTTAGTGTGGCCCGTCGCGCGGCGGGATGGGAGTTACTGTGGCCCGCGCAGGCCACTCAATGAAAAATAATATGTAAAGGTATCTCATGTCAGATCTGGAGAGATTCGCAACCCTTAAGGGAATACGCTCCCGGGCAGGCAAAAGTGGCCACAGTAACTCCCATCTGGAACCAACGTGGTAGTAGTGCTGTGTTAGTGGTGTGGTGGTCGCTGTGCTGTGTTAGTGGTGTGGTGTTGGTAATGTTGTGTTAGTGGTGTGGTGTTGGTAGTGGCGGGTTGTGCTGTATGCTGTGTTAGTGGTGTGATGTTGGTAGTGGTGTGCTGTGTTAGTGGTGAGGTGTTGGTAGTGTTGTGTTAGTGGTGTGGTGTTGGTAGTGTTGTTGAGTTGCTAGTAGGTAGCAGTGTTGTGGTAGTGGCAGTGGTGCTGTGGTAGTGGTGTTGTGGTAGCGGTGTTGTGGTGTTGTGGTTGTGGTATTGTGGTAGCGGTGTTGTGGTGTTGTGGTAGCGGTGTTGTGGTGTTGTGGTACTGGCATTGTGGCAGTGGTGCTGTAGTGTGGTAGTACTATGGTGCTGTAGTGTTGGTGTTAGGTAATATCATTCATAAGGAGTTCTAGTCCTACGGAGTACTAGCCGCAGGGAGTGCTAGCCCCAGGGAGTACCAGTCCCAGGAATTACGACCCCTAGGGCATACTCGTCCAAGGGAGTACTCGTCCTAAGGAGCACTCGCACTACGGAGTACCAGCCCTAGGGAATACTAGTCCTAGGGAGTGCTAGTCCGAGGGAGTGCTATGAAGTACTGGCGCTAGGGGGTGCTAGACCTGGGAAGTACTGGTGCTAGGGCGTGCTAGCCCTAAAGCGCTTGGCACAACGAGAAAAGGTAGTAGTAGTAGTCGTAGTAGTAGTAGTAGTAGTAGTAGTACTAGTAGTAGTAGTAGTAGTAGTAGTAGTAGTAGTAGTAGTAGTAGTAGTAGTAGCAGTAGCAGGAGTAGGAGTAAGTAGTAATAGTAGTAGTAGTAGTAGTAGTAGTAGTAGTAGTAGTAGTAGTAGTAGTAGTAGTAGTAGTAGTAGTAGTAGTAGAAGTAGTAGTAGTGTGGTAGTAGTAGTAGTAGTAGTAGTTAGTGGTAGTAGTAGTCGTAGGAATAGTAGTTCGTAGAGTAGTAGTGCTAGCAGTAGTAGTAGTAGTAGTAGTAGTCGTAGTAGTAGTAGTAGTAGTAGTCGTAGTAGTAGTAGTAGTAGTAGTAGTAGTAATAGTAGTAGTAGTAGTAGTAGTAGTAGTAGTAGTAGTAGTTAGTAACAGCAGTAGTAGTAGCAATCGTAGTTAGTAGTCGTGTAGTAGTAGTACTAGAAGTAGTAATAGTAGTAGTAGTAGTAGTAGTAGTAGTAGTAGTAGTAGTAGTAGTAGTAGTAGTTTGGTAGTGGTAGTGGTAGTAGTAGTAGTAGTAGTAGTAGTAGTGAAGTAGTAGAGTAGTAGTAGTAGTAGTAGTAGTAGTAGTAGTAGTAGTAGTAGTAGTAGTAGTAGTAGTAGTAGTAGTAGTAGTAGTAGTAGTAGTAGTAGTAGTAGTAGTAGTAGTAGTAGTAGTAGTAGTAGTAGTAGTAGTAGTAGTAGTAGTAGTAGTAGTAGTAGTAGTAGTAGTAGTAGTAGTAGTAGTAGTAGTAGTAG